TATATATATATATATATATATATATATATATATATATATATTGAAATGTTGAAAATTTACTTTCTCAGCTGTAATTTGCATAATATCTGTTAACTGCAATAAATTTAGTTTATTTAATAAATTTATTAAATAAATTTATTTAATAAATTTAGTTTATTTAATAAATCCATTCAGGAATATACTTAGTAATATATATTTTACTATGTAGAAGTATAAATAGATATAAAACTACAATAGTGCAAACATCTTCATTGTTTTTCTCACTGTCCTAGGAATATTAAAATATGGCATGAAAAGTTATAAAGCCATAAACTGTGGAGCTGGAAAATGCATGTAACTTAGATTTCATAGTATTTTCTGAATCTCAGTTTTCAGATCTTAACATTGTGTCAAGCAGATCACCTTAGTAATACCTCCTGAGCCCTTATGATGCATTGAAGTTTTTGGAACATAACCTTAATTTTCTCACAACTTTATGCTAAGTCATTTGTTTTGGGGTTGTTGTTTTTTTGCTAAGTAAATGGAAAATTGATCATTATACTGTCTGAGTATAGATATAAAGATCAGACTGAGCACTCAGATCCAATCCCTGATGCTTCATGAGCTACTGCCTCACTTGAAGAAAAGGAAAGATATAGGAAGGGTGGTTGAGTTTGAATGTCAGTAAGCAAAATGCAAGGTTCATCTGTTAGAATCCCTGCTCTTTTAGTTCATATATTTTGCTAGTCTTGGCCTATGTTCAAACAAATGTAGGACGATTGTTGCCTGTGTTCATGAGCATGTGTTCATGACTACAGAAAATACGACTTCAGCAACAGAGTGGTCAATGTTTGGAATACTCTACCTGACTCTGTGGTTTCTTCCCCCAACCCCAAAAACTTTAACCTTAGACTGTCTACTATTGACCTTCACCCCCTTCCTAAGAGGCCTGTAGGGGGCGTGCATAAGCACACCAATCGTGCCTACTGTCCCTGTCCTACTGTTTCTTTTTATTTTTCTTATAAGTATCTATCTCATGTATTCAAAACTATGTTTATTCTTATACCTGTATCTTGTAAGCAATTGACAAATCAAATAAATAAATAAATGTATAAAATTCCTATTTCAGGTTCCAGATCTTCTAATTATCTGGTGATAGAAACTAGTAGTCCAAATGACAAAGCAGAAAGATGCATTATTTCTTTATTATGGCTTTCTCATAGAATAAAAATGAAAAATATTTGGATTTGTAGTTAGATGTGGAAATGTTGCTTTTTATTGGCTTCAATCAGTCATTCCCACCAATACTCTCCAGTTGTTGCACAATAATGTTTAGAATTGTAGTTCAGCAAATCTGTGGGAAAAGATTGTCCTCTTTCTCTTCCTAAGGAAGAATGCATTTTTTTCTTTTAAATATGAAAGCTGAAACAATCAGACTATTAGGAAAAGATATATATATTCGATGTTATTTAGAATAAAAGAAAATATGCCTTTCAGTTAATGCCTATTTGTTTATTATTTTGCATAAAACATTATTTCTGGATTATAGGACAAGTTTATTAGTTTACGAATTGAAAATGGCAGCCCAATATTCACATACAAAGTTGATTCACAACCTCCGAGAGAAATATTAAATGGAAGCATGAACAATGTAGCAGAAAATTCGGTAAGTTTCTCTGCACAAAACAATCTCAAGAGTTGTTATCATTATGAAAATGCTTACTTATACCCCTTTGTAATATGCTATTTCATTAATCTTAGCTACATATATGGACATTTTAAAAGTTTACTCTTAAAACAAATATGTGGCATTGCTTCCAAATGTATATGTCAGCATAAGGAAGCATTATGTAGGAGATTGGACACCACCAAATTTGTCATATTTTGGCTTTGCCCCTCCAGACAAAAAGTTCCCAGGAAGTTGGATTAACATGTTTGGAAACCTCCATATTATCAGACTCTTGATATCAGAAGGTTCTAAGACAGTCTTGCTCAACCTTAGTGTCATCAGGTATGCAGAAGATGGGTGGGTTCCAACATCTAGGTGTCAGCATTCAAGGGAAGATCCATTCCTGTCAGTAACTCCAAGACACATGTCATCTCAAAGTACTTTTATTAGAACAGTACCTGGCACATACTGGGGAAATCCGGAACTAAATCTTCCCGGCTTCCCCACAAAGTCCCACGCTACAACCCATCCCCTTTTTTCTTCATCACCAGATCACGTGCACCAATTTTTTTCAGATTCCGCATTATATTTTCTCAAACACCTTAAATGTAGGGTTTTTAAGAACCCGAAGTGTCCCTCCAGCCGTGAGTTGTGGCTACGCTTTAGTACCATTAGTCTTAGGTTTGCAGGTACATAAAGTTTAGTTCCTTTTCAAGCCAGTTCCTCATTCATTGCTAATTTGGTTTGATGCCCCACAAACCAGGGATTGGTCAATAGAACTGCTTTCAACTCCGTGGTCAGTTTGTCTTCCAGGTGTTTGGGGTTGTGGTTGGCTTGGCCTCGAGTGGTTATTTAGCCTGCCAATTGAGCTTCTGATATCAAAGCCTGCACTATTTCCTCTCAGTGACTGTCAAACTGGGGTTTCCTGGACAGGGCGTCCGCCAATATATTTTTCCCTCCGGGGATATACTGTATTTCATGTTGAAGTTGAACTGCTTGAAGTATTGAGCCCAGCGGACTTGTTTAGGTGATAGTTTCCGAAGTGTCTTTAGAGTCTCGAGGTTCTTGTGATCAGTCCACACCTCAAACGGTTCCTTGACCCCTTCTAGAAATGCCTCCAAGTCAACAAAGCCCATCGTACTGCAAATGCTTCTTTCTCCCAGACCTCCCATCTTCGCTCTGTGTCCATTAGCTTTTTGGACACATAAGCACAAGGCATCAGTCAGTTCTGAGAGTCCTTTTGTAGCAGAACAGCCACTACCGCCACATCACTAGCATCAGCTTGGACTATAAAAGGTCTGGTTGGGTCTGGGTGCTAGAGAATGGGCTCAGCTGCAAAGAAGCGTTTTAAGGTTTCAAAAGCTTTCTGATAGTCCATTGTCCAAGCAAGGGGTTGACTGGACTTCGGTTTGGTGGGTGAAGGGTCCATTTTTAATAACTCTGTCAAAGGGCGGGTAACCTTGGCAAAAGAAGGAATGAGTTGTCTATAGAAATTGGCAAAATCCAAAAAGCTTTGAAGTTGCTTTCGTGTTTTGGGGGGTTGCCAGTCCAGCACGGCTTTCACTTTTCCAGGGTCCATCTCAATTCCCTGGTTGGATATTTGATAGCCTAAGTAATCCAGAGACTCCTTGTGGAATTCACATTTTGACAGTTTTACACATAACTTGTCGGCCAAAAGTTTTTTCAGGACTTGTCTGACCAATTTGACATGTTCCTCAATGGTTTCACTGAATATAAGGATGTCATTCAGGTAGACGAGGACCCCTGGTACAGGTGCAGATGTAACACTTCATTAATGAGTTGCATAAATACTGCGGGGCCCCCATGAAGTCTGAAAGGCATGACTTGGAATTGGAAATTAGGGCTGTTAAAGGCTGTTTTTCATTTATCTCCCTCTTTTATGCAGACTCAGTAGTAGGCTTCTCTCAGATCTAGCTTGGTGAAGACCTTGCCTTTTGACAGGTGGTTTAATAAATATTTCATAAGGGGGAGAGGATACATGTTTTTGACACACACGGCATTCATGCCCCTAAAATCAACACATAATTTCAATCTGCCATCGTTCTTTTCTTTGAACAGCATTGGAGCAGCCAACTTAGATTTGGCAGGTTCAATGAAACCTCTGTCCAAATTGCTATCAATGAATTTCCTCAATTCAGTCATTTCAGCTGGTGTCATGGAATACATCTTTGGTTTTGGCAGTTTTGCCCTGGGTTCTAATTCTATGGCGCAATCCGTGGCTCGATAGGGCGGTAAAACATTACATTCCTCTTCACTGAATGCCTCAGCCAAGTCTCTATATTGTTTGGGCACTTGGGGAGTACCTGGAAGAAGGTCTGAGGTGGTGGTTGCTGCTTCAGTTTCTGGGTCCAGGTTGGATGGTGGTTTCTTAGTGGGAGGAAGTGGGGCAGTGCTCCACTCCAATAATGATTTTTTGGAATCCATCCTCCCACTTGATGGTAGCAGCCCATTTATCTAGCCAAGCAAGTTCCAATATGACAGATTCTGACATTCTTGGAGCTACTATAAAACATATGAGTTCGCGGTGAGGACCCATCTCCAGTTTGATTAACTCTGTCATTTGGGTGGCTGGGGTCCCTCCAATTAATGTCCCGCCCACTCGTTCAAATCTGATTGGGTGTTTTAGTGGTTTAGTTTTTATGCCCAATTGTTTGTTCTGCTTATTAATATTTGGATGGCATAAAGCAGACAGATCAACTCCACAAATCATCCATACAAAGTCTTTTTTATTGGTTCATCAGGCATCCTTTCAACTCACATTTATGATGAGGTTCTCTTTAATGTCCAATCCTTTGCATGTCTGAATTGTGGTGTAGAAAGATAAGGTCTCAACCCCATGATGATTGAAGCAGCTGCATGGTAATAGATTCAGGCAAGAGTAAGGGAGCCTCCGCCAACCCAATTGGGTCAATTTAGTGACCAATCAGGGTTACAGACATGACCACATTACATTGACTACATTTCCCAGGATACCTTAACTACATTTACCATGATGCATTCCCTTAAGGTGACAGGTCACAATTCCTAACTAACTATCCCAAATCCCATTAACTCTAAACTGTCTGGACAGCACGTGCCCAATTGTTCAACGATGGGGAGCCCAATAAGGCATCTAGAGCATTTGGTATCTATGACAGCTTCTAATTCCCCTGCCTCCCCATGTCAGGCACCACTAACTTCACTTTGACGATAAAAGGTGTGATGGGTGCACTCACCATAGGATCATCTTTGTCAGTAGGTTGTCCAGGGAGGCTGTGTTGGTCTGGAAGTTTGTTGCTCCCTTCTGCATGGAGAGGACCTTCTATGGTGTGTCTAGCAAAGCGGTTAGTGTCAGGGGGCTTTCCTTGACTTTTCCGCCCCCTGGTGGCTGTATCAGACCTCAGTTGTGGAGCTTGTAAAACAGGTGCGGGGGCCAGACAGTTGGCTGCTCTATGGCGACCCTGTCCACAATGATAACACTTTATCATTCTGGTGGTTTGGGTGGAGGCAGGTTCAGCAGGTCTGGTCAGCTGTCGCCTGGCCACAGCTCTCCTACGAAGGCCTTCAGGTAGGGGTCTTTTTGTTGGTTGATGTCGCGGTCTAAATTCAGGGTGGCCACCTACCATGTTTGCAGGGTCTCTGGTATTCCCCTAATGTCACAGGCCTTCTTTACTTTTGGGTCAATGGCATTTTTAAAATAGTGCAAGATTAATTTTTCAGGCCAATCTATGAAGTGGCTTGCGACCCTTCTAAAGTCCCATATAAAATCTGATAAGGGTTGCTTGCCCTGTTTCATTTCCATTAATTTGTCCTCATTTTCAGCCACTGTCTCGATTCTCAAATCTGAGTCTCAGCAATTGAAGAAACACATTGACATCCTGTAGTTCTGGGGCCTGTTCATAGTGCAATTGCACCACCCAGTCAGAAGCATCCCCCTCATTCATCCCATCTGTTATTGCAGTAACTAAATCACGTTCGGTTGCATATTGGTCTCCAAATTGGTGTATGTGAGACCAGATTTGAGTGAGGAAATAAGATAAATGTTCATGGTGCCCATCAAAATTGGCCTTGAACTGCATCTGGTCTGGCCTCATTCCCTGCATGAGGAAAGGTGGGTGGCTGCTTCCTGATGCCTGTACAGATCTCTTTGTTGGGAAGGGATCGCTGATTCTCTCTGGGACCAGGACGTTGCTGGCACTGGCATCCACTGGTACTGAATCCACCCTTGACCAGGATAAAATCGCCACCCTGGAGGGATACTTTCTGCAAGGGGTAAATTTCCTTTTGGGTGTGGGGGAGAAGGACTTGGAGATTGCAACATACCTGTTGTTGTCTGCATCTCTCGTTTCTCCCTTGTAATTCGATCCTGTTGGCCTTCTGATATAATTGGACTCCACACTTCCAATATGCCTCCTTTGCAGTATGTAAAAGGCTTAATGGGATGAATTCTCCGGGCAGCTTTTCTCCGGTCCGTCTGACAACTTCTCCAGGAATCTGTTTCTTCGGGCTGGGCTCCTAAACCTTGCCTCTCTTCCGCATGCCTTAACTCCTCCAAAGGGGGGCTGGGGGATTCAATTAACCTTCCAGTGCCCCCCCCCC